TTCAGATGGACTGCAAGGGACAGTAAAAATGTGTATTCATTATAAACTGCTGCTTAATGAATGTAACTATGTACCTTTACCTGGCCTTATTAACAAAGGCCACTCAGTAAATACCCAAATTTCAAAGTACCAACACTCCTAAAGGTTTTTTAGAGAATTTCAGCCAACGTTTCTTGGTTTTCTATAAAGTAAAAAGAAAATCATATCATGAGAAGAAGAAAGAGGCATAAAAGCCCTGAAAACAGAGTATAAAAGCTTCAGGCTGGGACAAAATCAGAAGGTATTAGTAATCGTACATCCTACTTGTGAATGTATAAGTACTTAAGTTACATTTTCTCTAACAACTTAAGCTTTTAGAATAGATGACGATTAAAATAACTAAAAGGTCAATCTACTTCTCTCACCTCCCTGGCCTCCAAAGAGAAAAAAAGGAGGATTCATAACAATCTTGTACTCCAAGTTCATATATTTTTGTGTAAATCTCTATAGTGTCACTAAAGGAAATGACACTCGCAGTAAATGAATGCGTGCTCATGGATACAGGACTCAACTCAACAGAAGATCACACCTATCACGGGTCTTAATAATTTAGGTCTATTATTAGTTCATTAGCTAATGCCTATGCCTTAATTCTCATGGCTGGTTGTTATTGTTAATCTAAACTAATTAACTTTTGGCGGTAGAAGCAAGGTTTTCAAAGAGATAAAAATATCAAGTAGTATTCAATGCCTAGAATACTCAAAAATTAGAATGAAGCAACAAAATTGATTTTTATATCCTAGTTTTTAAAGTGATGCAACACTGATTTTCAATACTAAAAACAATTAAAATCTTCACAAACATTCTAATGATCAATCCCTCTATATGACCCACTTCAATCCTCTAACGAAAAAAGGTAATCTATTCAATTCAACAGATCAATATTCCACGATCACATCCAAATTACCCCAAAAAAATCTACCCAACACAAAAGTGAACTTTTCAAACACATTATTTAAACTAAAGATTAAGAACTCTTACAACACTCCTAAAATCCAAACCAAACATAACATCATGAACAAACCCAAAAAAATCAATGGATGCTTTGATAGACGTGAGTAAATAATCAGAATAATCCTGACCTTGATATGAGAACTTCTCTTCTTAGTTGTTCATCCTCTCTTCAATCCAATGGCTACACCAAACACAAATCAGGAAATACAAGTTAAGAAGACCATGCTATATCAGGGGATAAGAATCATTTGCAGAATTCAACAAAGATAAAAAAGTTGAAATTCAATAAAATCATTAAGCTCACTTAAGTTCAAGAGACCAATCAACACAGTACAAAAGAATCAGAATTTTCTTCTCCACACACCCTATCAATACATAAATCAACAACTCACAACTATGCAAACTGCAAATACACCCATATTTACAATCGGTTGCCCAATTGCAAAGGCATCAACAAACATACTACATATAAAAATTCCCAACCAAGGAAACAAATTTTAGATTGATTAGATCAAGTAAAGAGCAAAAATTAGACCCTATATAAATGGAAGCGGAACGTATAAGGAAAAAAAGAATAACATGGTATATTGAAAGGGCAAATTTGCTAGAGAATTGTTGTGCTCATCTCCAGAAAAGTGACTTTTCCATCCTCAGTTTGATTTTAAAAAAAACTTGATACACATCAAATAGACAAAAATTCAAAAAATGAATCAAATTCTCATCCATAAGAAACTCTTCATACAGGAATTCAAACATATTTTCTGAGATAGCAAAAGCAGAAAAAAAATACGATTACAGCACAAAACCGTACAGATCTATGTAGATAAAAAAATACAGATAAAAAAAGGGATTAGGGGTTACATTACCTATATATATATATACGTATACGTATACAAGTAAAGGGGTTACATTACCTTCTTCGTCTTCGGTTGTGAGCCTTCTTCGTGTGAGGCTTCTTCGTCGTCGATCTGTGAGTGGAAGAGAGAGAGAGTTGCTGAGAGAGCTCCGGAGAAGAGAGACGTACTGAGAGAAACGTTGCTTACCTTAACAGAAGAGAGAGAGTGGCTGAGATTGGGTTGCAAAGGGAACGATCTGTGCGAAGAACAAGAGTGGCTGAGACAATATATATACTCTCTCATATTATTAAGTGGAATTTTGTGGCAAACAAGACTCCGATGTGAGACCTCGTTTTAAAAAAAAACCGGTTGCTTTCTGTTTCGTGTGTTTTTTGGAACAAAAATTTTTTGTTCTTATTTTTTTGTCTTTGTTTCCAATACAACAAAAACAAAACAAAATCAAAAACAATACACTCACATATTTTTGTTTTTGTTTTGGATAAAATTTAAAAATAAAAACACAAAACTCAAGACAAAAATAATTACCAACCATAGCCTGACTTTTGCTCTTTATGGGCCATGGGTTTTGGCCCGTAATCGAGCCCATGACTCACTGCTCAAGCTCACTCTCTGTGGTGGTAAAAGACGTAAATGTCCCTGTGATTAAGATACTTCCAAAAAAAAAGTAGGGGGAATCGCACTCTTTACCCCCCAAAAAATAAAGATTCCTCATTTTATATCTTTAAATATTAAAATTTTTCATATCTTACCTTCAATAAATAAAAAGAGTTGTCATATGAACTTTTTGTTTACTTTCGTTATTTATTTCATAAAAAAATCACTCCATTCACTTTGACGAAATGAGTAATAAAAATAACAAAAATGTCATATTTTAATATTTTTTTTATATATTAAGGGTATAATATGAAAAATTTAACNCCTTAACAGAAGAGAGAGAGTGGCTGAGATTGGGTTGCAAAGGGAATGGTCTGTGCGAAGAACAAGAGTGGCTGAGACAATATATATACTCTCTCATATTGTTAAGTGGAATTTTGTGGCAAACAAGACTCCGATGTGAGACCTCGTTTTAAAAAAAAACGGTTGCTTTCTGTTTTGTGTGTTTTTTGGAACAAAAATTTTTTGTTCTTATTTTTTTTGTTTTGTCTCCAATACAACGAAAACAAAACAAAATCAAAAACAATACACTCACATATTTTTGTTTTTATTTTAGATAAAATTTAAAAATAAAAACACAAAATTCAAGACAAAAATAATTACCAAACATAGCCCGACTTTTGCTCTTTATGGGCCATGGGTTTTGGCCCGTAATCGAGCCCATGACTCACTGCTCAAGCTCACTCTCTGTGGTGGTAAAAGACGTAAATGTCCCTGTGATTAAGATACTTCCAAAAAAAAAGTAGGGGGAATCGCACTCTTTACCCCCCAAAAAATAAAGATTCCTCATTTTATATCTTTAAATATTAAAATTTTTCATATCTTACCTTCAATAAATAAAAAGAGTTGTCATATGAACTTTTTGTTTACTTTCGTTATTTATTTCATAAAAAAATCACTCCATTCACTTTGACGAAATGAGTAATAAAAATAACAAAAATGTCATATTTTAATTTTTTTGTTTATATATTAAGGGTATAATATAAAAAATTTAACATTTGAAGGTATAAAATAAAAATTCTTAAACTTTTCAGGGTATAAAGTAAAATTCACACAAAAGAGCACCTCTGTCATCCGTGCGCAAGTTAATTTTGCTCGGCCACTCATCTTCCCGAACCGTAGCCTGAGATACAAAGAAGCTTTAAACCTAGAATCGGAAATAAAGGTCGAATTTTCCGTCTAAATTTCTGTTTGGTTGATGAGAAATCGATGGAAAAAGAAAAGCATTTGTATTACTTTGATTTTGTATTGAAGTTTTTCTATTGTGGTTTTTTTTTCCCTGATTTGGTCAGAAGGAAGCGATTTGAGAGAGATGGCGAGCGCGGTGGATGCAGTTGGAGATCCGATCCCAACGTCGGCGGTGATGATGGCGGCGTCGAAGCACATAGCGACGAAATGCAGGAGCGAGAACGTGGCCTTCCTGAAATGCAAGAAGAACGATCCTAACCCTGAGAAATGCCTCGATAAAGGCAACCAAGTCACTCGATGTGTTCTTAGCCTGTAAGAAAATCTTCATTGTGTGTGTGTGTGTGTGTTTGTTTTATTAATCGATTGCTTGTTGATTTGTTACTGTTAGACTTACATAGAACTTTTTCGTGAGAATTTCGTTTTAAACTCTTCGAATTTACGATTTTCTGCTGAATTTTAGATCAACTTAACTAGTGGAATATGGGAAAAAGTGAAAAGAAAAAGNAGAGAGAGTGGCTGAGATTGGGTTGCAAAGGGAATGGTCTGTGCGAAGAACAAGAGTGGCTGAGACAATATATATACTCTCTCATATTGTTAAGTGGAATTTTGTGGCAAACAAGACTCCGATGTGAGACCTCGTTTTAAAAAAAAACGGTTGCTTTCTGTTTTGTGTGTTTTTTGGAACAAAAATTTTTTGTTCTTATTTTTTTTGTTTTGTCTCCAATACAACGAAAACAAAACAAAATCAAAAACAATACACTCACATATTTTTGTTTTTATTTTAGATAAAATTTAAAAATAAAAACACAAAATTCAAGACAAAAATAATTACCAAACATAGCCCGACTTTTGCTCTTTATGGGCCATGGGTTTTGGCCCGTAATCGAGCCCATGACTCACTGCTCAAGCTCACTCTCTGTGGTGGTAAAAGACGTAAATGTCCCTGTGATTAAGATACTTCCAAAAAAAAAGTAGGGGGAATCGCACTCTTTACCCCCCAAAAAATAAAGATTCCTCATTTTATATCTTTAAATATTAAAATTTTTCATATCTTACCTTCAATAAATAAAAAGAGTTGTCATATGAACTTTTTGTTTACTTTCGTTATTTATTTCATAAAAAAATCACTCCATTCACTTTGACGAAATGAGTAATAAAAATAACAAAAATGTCATATTTTAATTTTTTTGTTTATATATTAAGGGTATAATATAAAAAATTTAACATTTGAAGGTATAAAATAAAAATTCTTAAACTTTTCAGGGTATAAAGTAAAATTCACACAAAAGAGCACCTCTGTCATCCGTGCGCAAGTTAATTTTGCTCGGCCACTCATCTTCCCGAACCGTAGCCTGAGATACAAAGAAGCTTTAAACCTAGAATCGGAAATAAAGGTCGAATTTTCCGTCTAAATTTCTGTTTGGTTGATGAGAAATCGATGGAAAAAGAAAAGCATTTGTATTACTTTGATTTTGTATTGAAGTTTTTCTATTGTGGTTTTTTTTTCCCTGATTTGGTCAGAAGGAAGCGATTTGAGAGAGATGGCGAGCGCGGTGGATGCAGTTGGAGATCCGATCCCAACGTCGGCGGTGATGATGGCGGCGTCGAAGCACATAGCGACGAAATGCAGGAGCGAGAACGTGGCCTTCCTGAAATGCAAGAAGAACGATCCTAACCCTGAGAAATGCCTCGATAAAGGCAACCAAGTCACTCGATGTGTTCTTAGCCTGTAAGAAAATCTTCATTGTGTGTGTGTGTGTGTGTGTGTGTGTTTGTTTTATTAATCGATTGCTTGTTGATTTGTTACTGTTAGACTTACATAGAACTTTTTCATGAGAATTTCGGTTTAAACTCTTCAAATTTACGATTTTCTGCTGAATTTTAGATCAACTTAACTAGTGGAATATGGGAAAAAGTGAAAAGAAAAAGAAGTAAGTGTATTACTGAAAAAAAATAGTGAATTTCTTGTTCTAATAACCTAATGCTACATTTTTTGCCAAGTAATAGGAGTTATTAATTGGAGCAAAGGAACAAAAATTAGAATTGGTTTGTTTCAAAATCCCAATTCCTGCCAAATGCAGCATTGATTTTTGACTAGATGGGAAGTTTTTTTTTTTTAAGCAATTAGATGGGAAGTTGATTATTGATCATATATAGTTTCCTTAACTCAAAACACTAGAATTGGGATGTCAAAATGTTGTGTTCATCTGATTGCTTACATGTAGCTTCTAATGTGTTACTGGGTGTTATACATTTCTATTGCAATGTATAGATGCATCACATTGCTGTTTTTATTTCTTTTGATCCAGCATGGACTGATTGCTTATACCGATTGATTACTCACAAGACTGACATTGATGATTTCCTTTGGTTTTCTCTGCTTGGCTCTTGGAGTCACCAAGTTCTTTTTGTTAGCAAAGATTTAGAAAATAATTCCTCTCAGAAGCTATGTATTTAGTTTGAACTTCAATGGAGTAGCCTGCAACCAAGTTTGGTTGTTTCTGTGTTAGTTGAGTTTAATGGGACTGGAATATTTTACGATACAAGAAATAGAAATAGCTGTAATAGTTGAAATGAATAGTGTCATAGAGGTAGGATGATGAATTACTTCTTCCTTTTTCCCCTTTTTTGTGATTATATATGCTTAGAAATGTTAACTGTAAGTTTTGAAGCCCATTATCCTGACAAACATCATCTATCCACAAGATGATTAGAGGCAGTATTTATCTTCCACCTTGATAGTAACTTTGACTGTGATTGTTTCTTTTCTCTCTTTTGTTGTCTTTTCTGTTTTTCTTTTATGTGTTCAATGCTACCTAAGGAAGAAACTACTTCAGTTAAACACAATATATCAGTATTTATAAATTATGGTAAAGAAAACTTAGCACGTCACAATCAGTTTGTATATAATCTTGATATTCCAAAAGATAAGGTTCCTAGTAAAAGAAAACCCACTAAAAAATCTAAAGATAAGAAGCTACTTCTTAAATGTTTTAAGTGTGGAAAAGAGGGTCATATTGCTTCAAACTGTTCAACTAAACAACAGATTAATGAATTAATTAATGATGAGAACCTAAAGTTTTTGCAGGGGCAGCAATGACGATGCAAAATCCCCTTTTTAACACTTTTTTTCTATTTTATATTTCTTCTGGTCCTTGTCTTCCATTCAAGAATAAATATTTTTCTTTTCCCTAATTTCTTTACCACCTGACATTAGAACAACATGACCAGTTTTATGGTGCAAGTGACCCTTATATTGACATTGAAATTGGCTACTATATAGTACTTTTCATGCCTAAGTGGTAGAAGACATTCTTATCTGCTTTCAGGGTTTAGTGATGTCTTTCCTCCATTAAGCAGTTGAGTGTATATGATTTGATGGCATCAATTGTTAACATTTAGTGGGTGGATTTCAACATTTAATCTTGTGTTGATAGTCAGATAGATCATAGATGACAACTGCTGTGGTACAATCATATTAGAACGTTTAACAAACCTAATTTTCCAATACATGATGCCTATAAATTGTCCAGCTAACACAGTTGCTTCAACCAATTTCTTTGGGTTAATATTGTCGGGTAAAGTTACTAGTGTGATAGTTACATAACAGAACTAATCCAGCAAGTCAGAAGGATGTCCTATTGGAATGAGACACCAGACAGTAATATTGCTTAACAGAAATGATTTTCAATCTGTCTTTTTTTCCAGAAATATGTGTCTTCATCCTGAATATATACCAATAGATTGTCACAGTGAAAACTAACAGGCTGCAGTTTGTGTCCTGAAAGATGGTTTTTCAGTCTCACTTGTAGTAATTCTTATATAGAATTCTGACATCCTGTGTTTAAATTCGGATTTAGGTTTTTTAAGTACTAGTTCTTTACTAACCATGGCTTGCAATTATTTGAAGTAGATCTCAGATGTTTTCTAACCAAACGGTCCAGATTGTAATCTTGTATCTGACTTCATTTTATTGGGATAAGTTAGCCCTAGCTTTTATCCTTAATAAATTTGTCAAAAGGTGTTTAGTTCTTTGCATGTGGATGGCTAGTGAAGCCAAGTTGTTCTTGACACTGTCCCGACACTGGATAGCCCAAAAGGGTATGTGCCAGTCTGCTAGATTTCTAAATAACTCTAAATTTGATCTTCGTTTGTCTCAATTGACGACTTATTCCTTTTATTATCTAAAGGGAGTTGTTGGAAAATGTCATCCAAATTGTTATGAAGTATTCCTGAACTGTGCTATACTCGGCCTTGCAGACTGAAAGATATTCACCAGAGGTGCACGAAAGAGATGGATGCTTACGCTGGTTGTATGTACTACAACACAAATGAATTTGAGCTATGTCGCAAAGAGCAAAAAGAATTCGAGAAATCATGCCCACTTGAATGAGTGGTGGAATTGCACCTGCGATCTCATGCTCCCAATAATTCAGGCTGATGTGCGTATTAGCAGAACCTGGTCCTGAGTGAACTTTCAATGGAACTGTTTATGGGTGTGAATGCCACCGATCTGTATGGTAGACATTGCCCTAAGACAACATTCCTCTCTTCGGTCATTATTTAATGCATCTGTTGTTGGAATCATTGATGAGATTTAATGGTATCCTGATTTTGTGTGTTTGGTGAGGATGGTTTATCTAGACCCACATATTTAGAGAACACCAAGGACTTGCTTGGTAACACCTTTTGGAATAAACTGATTTGACCAAGACCTCTTACTTATATGGTACCCTTTTCTTTTTAATAGAGCATTAAGGCAACAATTGTTCATGTAGAACCTATTTTCATTCCTTATTTTATTCCAAACACAACAGAAAGTTACTGGAAATCCGTCCTCTCCAATTCCCTTCTCAAATTACTTTGGCCGAAAAAGGAAAAATGCCGTGTTAGTAGCATTTAGCATGGTTTGTCCACAAGAAAGGCTGGATNCTCCAATTCCCTTCTCAAATTACTTTGGCCGAAAAAGGAAAAATGCCGTGTTAGTAGGTTTGTCCACAAGAAAGGCTGGACGTAGGAAAGAGGCCAGAACTATAAGTAGTGGCAAGTTTTCATCAGTCCAAGTGATATTACGTGTACTAAAATCGAGGAATCAACATTTCCAAACTAGTGATAAGTAAATCAACCCTCTGACCTCACAGTAAGAAAGAGNAAATCGAGGAATCAACATTTCCAAACTAGTGATAAGTAAATCAACCCTCTGACCTCAAAGTAAGAAAGAGTTTCATACATGGTGTTGTTCTGAAAAAAAAAATTCATTGCAATGGTGATACCACATCAACATTACGTGATATCACAAACTAATAACATGCACAAATAAAAAAGTAGATCNGTCCAAGTGATATTACGTGTACTAAAATCGAGGAATCAACATTTCCAAACTAGTGATAAGTAAATCAACCCTCTGACCTCACAGTAAGAAAGAGTTTCATACATGGTGTTGTTCTGAAAAAAAAAATTCATTGCAATGGTGATACCACGTCAACATTACGTGATATTTCATACATGGTGTTGTTCTGAAAAAAAAAATTCATTGCAATGGTGATACCACGTCAACATTACGTGATATTACAAACTAATAACATGCACACAAATAAAAAAGTAGATCTTACACAAGTTAATAACTATCTGACCATATAAGCAAATAATTATCCATTTTTCTTCCATGTATGTCAATAACTATTTAAGTAGAGTTTACTTTGCATAAGTAGAAAGAAAACATAAAGTAGAGCAATCCTAATGAACTTGAAAAAAAAAAAGAGGATTTGAAAACATAAAAATCATAAATCATGAAGCACTTTTCTGTCCACCAATTGTTGGCATACAAGTAAAACAGGAGAAATTACATCCAACAGAACCAAAATGAAAGTTAATGCCAGACCACAGATAGTGATAAGTCCCATCTACCAAACATTACATTTGCGGATAACAAATACATAGCCATTGTCCCCCTACCTAACTGCAAAGTAGACTTTTGCAAAAGCAATGGGATGAACGGTGCCATATGACAGCAACATACGTTCTAAGTGTTGAACATCCATCAGCGAGGGCTGCATGGCAACAACCAATGAGAATCAACCATCCATAAAAAGTGAAGGGTGTGCGTGCTGGATCTTGCACAATATAAATACGAGAACAGATCTCTCCCTTGGTGAACTCGAGTGAGTCAGTCGAGTGGTCAACCCCGCTACTTGGAACAACCTGTGAGGTCCGATGGTAACCTGGAACGGTAATGGGAGACCCTCGTGGATCAACGGAACGATCCAGTAAGGCTGAAGAAAGGTTCCTGGAACAAAGAAGAACAAGTTAGAAGGGTGTCGGAGTGTTTTCCAGCGTATCCCCTCCAACGATCAAGTCAATTTTTGAGAGAGAGGAAGAAGAAAACACTGAATATAATTTGTAACAAAGGTTTCACCTTGTTTGTCTTACCTTTTGTGAGGAGTATTTATACCTCATATACTCATGATTGCTGTCAGTAGGTGATCATTAGATACAGGTAACGTGCGCACTGATTCCTACGAGGAATGTCTTCTCTTTTAACTGCTCGGGACCCCGAGTAATCAAGACTGTGCCATCGGCCTGCCGACGGTTCAATGAACTCCTCTCGGCAAGGATGTAATAAATGTCCAGCCTTAAAGACATTTATTACATTTCACTTCCGAGCCTCACTGCATTAAATGCTGTCTCATCAAAGGAATGGTATAATTAAATGTTTGTTTTCCCAAGTCGTATGTCTNGTTCAATGAACTCCTCTCGGCAAGGATGTAATAAATGTCCAGCCTTAAAGACATTTATTACATTTCACTTCCGAGCCTCACTGCATTAAATGCTGTCTCATCAAAGGAATGGTATAATTAAATGCTTGTTTTCCCAAGTCGTATGTCTGCAAGGGCATCCGGTCTTTCTGTCTCTGATGTGACACAATATGTCACGCGTCCATTCCCCATTGGCTGTGCCCCCTACCCTCTGTGCCTTCTGACACTAATTGCGTAAGACGAGGTCATGATAACTAACCTAAGCTAGTGACCTGTACATCAATAGCCTCTGCTGGAGCAGAGAACGGCATCCTGGACGAGGCGGTACATCTCGGTACCGAAGAAGAGGTACATCTCGGAGCCGAGGAAGAGGTACATCTCGGAGCCGAGAGGGGGAGGCCTAGCGACCGATGTACCATATCAGACCGAGGGGTACGTGTCGGTACATAAAAACGTATTGGATGCCCACTTGATCCCTATGATAAGTACCTCGGGGGAGAGGGAACTTGTGAACCGATGGGTACGTGATCTCGGTAACAAGGATTAGTGACACCGAAGACACGTGTCTTCATCTTGGAGTATTTCGAAAATGTCTCATCAACTGCCCCCCAGCCTTCGATCTTCTGACACCGAGGACACGCGTCGTAAGGAGACGAAGGGTTTTACAATAACTCCAATTGCTTCATCATTGCCTCTAGCCGCTTTCCCTTGCTTAGGACGTCGTGCGCATTTTCGTGCTTCGCGCCCAATAATGGGATAAATACTATATATAAATGGGCTTCCTCTCTTCTTTTCTCATTTCATCGTTCTGAACTTTTCTCCACAGAGCCCTTGCCTGAGACTTCGCCGGAGATCCTTTTCCTTCCGTTGTCAACTGTCCAACCATTTCACCGGAGTTTTAAGGCCAGCAGACTCATCCTTGCTTCTGAAACATTCTGGAAGGAGTCGCTTCAAATTTCCTAGAAAAAACTTCTTTTTACATTCTGGTGAGTCCCAGTATCTTTCCTTTCTTCGTCCTTCTGTCTCTTTTGGTTTTTCGATAACTGGAGGTGTCCCCGGTTGCCACTCAGCGACCAATCCTCGGGAAACCTCCTTGGGAAAAAACACCCTCCTCTTTGTACCACTTTTTGGAGATGCCTCGTCGCCCTGCCCCTGAGAATCCTTAGGCCAGTTCTTCGAAGTCAGGGAAGTATAAAGTAAAGGGTGGTGAGCAAATTAATAGATTTAGGGTTAAGTACAGCATCCCCCCGTATGTAGACATAGAGGATTATAACCCGGCTGTGCACCCTCGGTACCGAGGGTGCAATGCCCTTTTATACCAAAGTCATCATAGAAGGCGGAATTAGATTCCCTTTGCCCCCTCTACTTCTCTAGTTCCTCTCCCATTTTCACCTCTTCCCCGGACAGTGTTGCCTTAATGTCGTCAGGATAATTATGGGAGTCCTAGAACTCAATAGGCGTCTCGGGGTAAATGTTGGACTGAACGATATCTTTGTTTGCTATTCTCTCTTGAGAGTCATGCCTCAACAATACTTCTACCTCAAAGTCAGAGAGTCATCTATGTACCTCGTAACTCACCTTCCCGACTCGAACAAGGGTACAAGGATGACCTACTTATCTTCAAGGGATCTTGGCAGAGAGGTGTCGGTCCCGAGTATAACGGCTTGTTATGCCCTTTGGAATGGAGAATGACAAGTACGTCGGCTCCCTTAGCTTCTTCCTTTTGCTCTCGAATCCGCTGGAATGTCGACGTACTTGTCGTTCTCCATTCCAAAGGGCATAACAAGCCGTTATACTCGTGACCGACACCTCTCTGCCAAGATCCCTTGAAGATAAGTAGGTCATCCTTATACCCTTGTTCGAGTCGGGAAGGTGAGTTACGAGGTACATAGATGGGTCTCTGACTTTGAGGTAGAAGTGTTGTTGAGGCATGACTCTCAAGAGGGAATAGCAAAAAAAGATATCGTTCAGTCCAACATTTACCCCGAGATGCCTATTGAGCTCTAGGACCCCCATAATTATCCTGACGACATTAAGGCAACACTGCCTGGAGAAGAGGTGAAAATGGGAGAGGAACTGGAGAAGTAAAGGGATGCAAAGGGAATCTAATTCCGCCTTCTATGATGGCTTTGGTATAAAAGGGCATTGCACCCTCGGTACCGAGGGTACGAACNGTCCCGAGTATAACGGCTTGTTATGCCCTTTGGAATGGAGAATGACAAGTACGTCGGCTCCCTTAGCTTCTTCCTTTTGCTCTCGAATCCGCTGGAATGTCGACGTACTTGTCGTTCTCCATTCCAAAGGGCATAACAAGCCGTTATACTCGTGACCGACACCTCTCTGCCAAGATCCCTTGAAGATAAGTAGGTCATCCTTATACCCTTGTTCGAGTCGGGAAGGTGAGTTACGAGGTACATAGATGGGTCTCTGACTTTGAGGTAGAAGTGTTGTTGAGGCATGACTCTCAAGAGGGAATAGCAAAAAAAGATATCGTTCAGTCCAACATTTACCCCGAGATGCCTATTGAGCTCTAGGACCCCCATAATTATCCTGACGACATTAAGGCAACACTGCCTGGAGAAGAGGTGAAAATGGGAGAGGAACTGGAGAAGTAAAGGGATGCAAAGGGAATCTAATTCCGCCTTCTATGATGGCTTTGGTATAAAAGGGCATTGCACCCTCGGTACCGAGGGTACGAACGTGCACAGCCGGGTTATAATCCTCTATGTCTACATACGGGGGGATGCTGTACTTAACCCTAAATCTATTAATTTGCTCACCACCCTTTATTTTATACTTCCCTGACCCCGAAGAACTGGCATGAGGATTCTCGAGGGCAGGGCGACGACGAGGCATCTCCAAAAAGTGGTACAAAGAGGAGGGTGTTTTTTCCCTCAAAGATTCCCAAGGAGGCTTCCCGAGGATTGGTCGCTGAGTGGCAACCGGGGACACCTCCAATTATCGGAAAACCAAAAGAGACAGAAAGACGAAGAAAGGAAAGATATTGGGACTCACCAGAATGTAAAAAGAAGTTTTTTCTAGGAAACTTGAAGCAACTTCTTCCAGAATGTTTCAGAAGCAAGGATGAGTCTGCTGGCCTTAAAACTCCGGTGAAATGGTTGGACAGTTGACAACGGAAGGAAAGGGATCTCCGGCGAAGTCTCAGGCAAGGGCTCTGTGGAGAAAAGTTCAGAACGATGAAATGAGAAAAGAAGAGAGGAAGCCCATTTATATATAGTACCTATCCCATCATTGGGCGCGAAGCACGAAAAGGCGCATTTAATGCGC